ATATTTTTACACATTTTAATTTATGTTCAATTTTTTAAAAGTATATATGAATACATGACATTATAGCATTTATGTATTTTGCCACCAAAATATATTAGAATAAGCTTGCTCTATAGTTTATAAGAATTTTTGTTATCTACATAATTCTCTTTTCAAATACAAACCATTGAGCATCAATTTTGGATGCTTTCCAGTTGAACATCTATAAGTTAAGTCACAGGGGATGTAGAGATTTCAGATAATAGCATCAAACACATGCATGGGATTGTGGTTCATCATTCACTGTTACATTAACGAAAAGAAAGAAGTGGATGTTTGGAGGAGATTTCCATCACTTTCTTATCCAAAACTTAACAAAAATGAATGGGTAGTGGCAAAGGCCATAGCTTTGAGAATTAAAGAATAAATCCATCTCTTCTGCTGAAAGTAAAAGAAAGGAGGTATAAATTAATGATCAAAATGTCAAAGAACTTGTCAAATCTTGAAGATAAGTCTGGATAACAAGGTTGAAGCCAGTCATGCAATAATATTTTGATGAAATGCAAGTGCAGGAATAATTACAGTTAGGTTGACCATAAGAAATTTACACAGTTCTCTGAGGCTGAATAGAGAAAATATTACTTTCAACACAAGATTGATACATGGATTATAAAAGAGAAGTTATGTGAAGAATGTATCATGCAGTAAATAAGTGACAATTATTAATCCCTTTCATTTTTAACTGACTAAAAAAAATTCTTTTTATTAAGGAAATGATGTGTTTTTCTCCTTAACCAGAAATCTAGTTTTCATCTTTATTAAAGGCACTTTATAGACATAATTAGGATACATTAGGCTATAAGTTTGGCTCTACTTAAACTTGAATGTATTTTCTCACATCGCTCTAAGTTCTGAGGATGGGCCAGGTCTGCCAGTCTCAGGTGTAAGCAGGACTTCTCATTGATCCGGATTGCCCTTAAACTCTAGGCATATATCTTCCTTGCAAATTTTTTAAGTAACAAAAATTCTAAAACATTTGTTTCCACCCAAGGAGAATTCTCATTTCTCGTTGTTCAGATAGATTAGATCTACCTTTAAAAAACATAGTCACTGATGAGATTAAACAAAACTTACTAGAATTGACTTGTGCCAATGTGGTACTCAATAACACCCAGAAAGTTTGTTAAACCCAAGATTACTGGGCTCCAATTTCATATTTAGTAGACTTTAAATGAAGTTCTCAAGTGATACTCTTGCTGCTGGCTTGATTACCATTCATTGAGAAGAAACTTTGAGGATATTCACCTCCTGGGCCTGAGATAAGCAGACTTCCACTGAGCAAAAGGCCAAACAATAAAGCAGGAATGCTGGGAGACTGCTTATAATGGCAGGCTATCAGTTTGGAATTTGTGTTGGAAAGCAACCATGCCTATTTTTCTTCCTTCTTTCCTTTCTTTTTTTTTTTTTGAATTAGAGTCTCACTCTGTCGCCCAGACTGGAGTGCAGTGACACGCTCATGGTCACTGCAGTTGCAGCCTTGACAGCTGGGCTCAGGCGACCTTTCTGCCTCAGGCTACCAAGTAACTGGAACTATGTGCCACTATGCCCGGCTAATTTTTTTTTTTATTTGTTGTAAAACGAGATCTCGCCAAGTTGCCCAGGCTGTTCTCGAACCCCTGAGCTCAGGCAATCCTCTCACCTCGGCCTTCCAAAGTGCGGGGATTACAGGCTTGAACCACTGTGCTAGGCCCCCATCCTTCTTTTCTTTCTTATATGTACATCTCAAATGTTTTTTTTTTTTTTTAACTTCCTTTTAATCAGTGTAAGTAAAGTTTACAAACCTAATTGATGATCTGGGAAATAATTTTGCTAAATCATGAAGGTATTTATGCCATCGTAACTAGGTGCATAATTCCTGAGAAAAAAACTATCAGCTTGTGAAGTTATAACTTTTCTGTTAAGCTCTGCATTTTTTTTTTTAGCAAGTCTTTTATGTTTGACAGATCAAGAAAGATCTTTTTTTAAATGTCCCAGTGTCATTCCAAATAATAGAATTATGTTCCCTATTACATGTATCTTTGTCAAAGAATAAGGTATAGAACTTGATATTTGAAAATTGTGTTCTGAAGAAAAGAAATGAAAAATCTGTTTGCATTTTAAATGCAATATTTGATGTAATTCAGTAAAACACTGCAATAAAGCCATAAACTACAATATTCCTGCTCAGTTACTGAATGACCGTGGCAAGTCTATCCCTCCACCCCCCAGCTAACCAGTGTGAGTTCTGGGTTCTAGTTGTCCAACCCAAATCTTTGTGTTCCCAGCTGCTTGCTGGCATCACCCAAGTTTAAATATTATTGGCTGCGATTCTGACTCCTATGAAAGTGAGGTAGAACTTGGAAGACAGCAGCATCCATGTCAACAATATCCCCTTTGTTTACATCTTATGTTTTCTGTGATACTGGGAGGCAGACATTCTTTATTTAGAAGACAGAGGGCAGAAATGGTGGCTGGAGGCATGGTGGTCCTTGTCTTCTTTTCCCTCTCTCAGACTTTCAAAGAGTAGTAGCCAGCAGTTTCTCTGCCAAGTCCAATCCTTCAACCATATTCTCGCCTTACTTCCTCAGGAATTCTAGTAGGCATGCTGGGATTTCCAGAGCCCAGGAACCTACTTACCATCAATTGTATTATATCAAAAGTCACTTAATAATAGTTTTTTTTTTCCTTGTAATACCATATGCGTCACAGAGTATTTTCCTTTACTTAATAGTATATTTTGGCGATATCCTCATATAAGTATATAAAAGCCTTCCCTATCACATTTCACAGTTTAATGGTTTTTAAGTTTAAATCAGCTCATTTCATGAATATTTTGTTTCTAGTATTCACTGTTAACAACAGCAAATACAAAATGCTGCAATAAATATTCATACACACACAATATTTTACATAACTCTGTATGTATCTGTAGAATACATTACTGGAAATAGAATGGCTGGATCAGAGTTTTTATGCATTTTTAGTTTTTGAAAATATTGCCAATATTTATCCTTGAATGAATCTCTTTATTATCTTCATTTTGCCAAAAGATGATCTTATCATACTTAGCCTTTGCCAATCTGAAGACATGAGAAATAATACCTTGATGTGCTTTTGTGTAAATTAAGCAGTTTTTGTTGTTTTATTTTTATTTTATTTTATTTTTTTGAGTTGGAGTCTCACTCTGTCACCCAGACTGGAGTGCAGTGGCCGTTCCTGGACACCGCAGCCTCAACCTGCTGGCCTCCAGCGATCCTTCCGCCTCAACCTTCCAAGTAGGTGGAACTACAGGCACGTGCAACCACGCCCAGCTAATTTTTGATCTATTGTAGAGATGAGGCCTTGTTGCCCAAGGCGGGTCTCGAACCCACGGGCTCAGGCAATCTACTCACCTCAGCCTCCCAAAGGTGCGGGATTACAGGATGAGCCACCGAGCATTTTTTAAATAATTGTAGATTAATATGCAGTTGTAAGAAATAATGCAGGGATGTCTGGCACTCTTTACTAAGTTTCCCCCAGGGTATTATCTTGCAAAACTGTCATACAGTAAACAACGAGGAAACTGACATCTATATAGTTAAAACAGAGTCCTTGGTATCACCCTTTTATTATCCACCCCCACATCTTCTGATCTCACCTGTTGCCACATTCTTAACCACTGACAGCTACTATAATTTTCTATAGTGTTGATAGTTTGGTTGGGTCAAAAATGTTACATAAATTGGAATAGGTTTTCTCCTATTTTGAATGATGCTGAATATCATTCAATATTTAAGAGATACTCTATTTTCCTTCCTACAAAATATGTTCTTTCATATTTTATGTCCAGTTTATTTATATAGACTCTATATAACTAACTCTTCATATAGTAAAAGTCCTGTCTTTTGTTATATAACATTTTCTATGTATGACATACTATTTTATTTTCTATATACAAGTTGTATACTTATTATGATTCAATATATCATTTTTGATCTCATGATTAGGGCTCATATTTCTCCTACTTAATGATTAAAAGGAAAACATGTCCACATTTTTTTCTTCCATTATTTTCCAATATTTTATGACTTTTTAAATTTTTGAATCTCTAATCTATTTTTATTAGTATTACTGTTGGTTTGAGATGCGAAGGAAGATTTCATTTCCAATTTTCTATTTAGATGTCCTAAGATAATTTATCATTGTATGCTTTGTGCTGTTTATATTTAAAGTACTAAGACAGTATTTTTCAGGACATCAAAGAAATACCCTTGGGATTTTCTACAGTATTATAACATTAGGAGAAACTATAGGTTATTTTTTTATTTTCTAGTTTAATAAAGATGTTTTTGAAATGATATTATTAATTTTGCACTGTAAATTTTAACTAAATATGAGAAGCAACATTATTAGTAATCAGAGCTAATTACTGTAAACTGCTAATTCCTACACTACATAGTGTCAATTATAACAAGCTTTATTTGCAGTCCAATGGATTTATGATAGATTCATCTGTTTCTTTACCACATGATGTGTCATTTACTACTGGTGTCTGAGCCAGATTCATGTGATATTGAAAGAGGTGCTAGGTGACAACTCACTGCCTCAGCGCTGAACCTTAGTTCTTCAGCAAAGTAATTAAAAGCATATAGTGTCTATCATTTAATATGTCAGCTGACTTAGATGAATAGCTCTTCTGCATTTATTTTTATCATTTTTTCTTTATTTATGCATATGTGATGTCCTATTTTGGAAAACATACATAAAAAGTACTTTTGTATAAGGTAAAAAAAAATGGATCATTTACTCAACAATTGTATTTTAGCAACACAAAAGCATCTCTTTCATAATATTTGATTACAGAAATGTAGAATTCCAGAGGAAGGGGAGGCTCACCTGAATTCTTCCTGAAATGCTTTCCAACTTTGTAAAAAGAAGTTGCCGTTCTTCTGACTTTATCAGAGTAAATTTTAAATAATGTAATCCCTGCTTTCTCTTGAAAGGAACTATTGAACCTTCAACATGCCTACTATAAACTAAGCAGACAACACCAGGAAAAAATTGCAGAACTGACTCATGCTAAGAACCGAGTGGATAAAAATGAGGAAGAAGTAAAGAAACTGAGATTTCGAGTGGAAGAACTAAAACAGGAGCTCAACCAAAAAGAAGACGAGGTACTGCTTAATAAGTGAACACACACTGAACAGTGTCAAAGCAGAATTTTTTAGTACACACACACACACACACACACACACACACACACACACACACACACACACACATACACGTATATACAGCATTTTCATGTTTATTAACGTATAGTATTAATGGTGTAAAAACTATCACATTTTAATGACAAAATAAAACCATAAGGAAAGGAAAATTTCATAGGCAGCATGCACGTGTTTATGGTGCTAATAGGATATTTTTATGAATGCTCTATAACCCAGTGTTTCAGCATGGTCCATTTTGTGTGTGTGTGTGTTGTCTCTGTGTGTGTGTGTTTATATGTGGGCATTGTATCATGACAACTTGGTGTTTTAAGTTTTAAGATTTAAGCTTATCTATCAGAGAAATATATGTTATGATTATATGCTATGACATATATTTACTCCAGTGTGCAAAATAATTTAGATACATTATTTCCTTGTGTAAAGTCAAGTCATTAATCGTTTATGGATTACTTTAGAAGTTTCTGGAAGGCAGACATCTTGATGTAATATCCTGACAGCACTGTAACTACGGGGTACTTTCAGCCATAGTTACAAACAATAAAAGAGATATATTTCTTAAAAGAAACACAGGCCCAAATGTCAGTATGAATGTGGGGCATTACCACATGGCAGAATTATTTCAGATGGTGTTCCAGTCATCGCATCTGCTCCTGTTGGAAAATTTTTCAGGCAAATACTATAGTTCCCAGCTCAGAAAAACTGTTTCTGTATGATGCAAAACTATTGAAAATCCAATAATAATAATAATAATAAGCTGAATTATTTTTTAATGGAGTAACTTAATAGTAGAATACATTCTACTTTTTGAGATTTAATTTTTAAACAAAAGAATTTCAATCAAGCAAACAGGATTTTCTTTTCTAATAACATCACATGAAAACAGAATCAATCATTCCACTGATGAGGTTCACACATTGGCCTCTGCTCTTATTATTGCCATTTTGCTGGCAGGCCTTTCATCTTTGGTATGTCTCTCTGGTTGAAGACATATTCTTTTTTAATGATATTCATGTGTAGTAGGACTGGATGGTAGGAAAGTAAGTCAGAAAAGGCACATGGTAGAAAGACTCGAGCATGTTTTTTAGACTTTGTCTTATTGTAGACATTATTCCTGTGAATAGTTTTAATATGCAATTATTTATTGTGAGTAGGAGGTGGTGAAGGGATCTCCATGTTTATCAATAGAGGCTTTAATAAATCACTTGGGACTAATTTTTTGGCAAGGAAATCATTTCTTCTCAGGTTTGCGGGCTAATGAAGAATGAGTCCCCAAAGATCTGACTCAGCAGGCTAATTGAGTAATTTAAATAATAATCTGTGACCCTAAGGATGATAATATTATTTGCTCCTCCGAGTAGGATTATACTTCTCACATCAACAGTGTCAGACTTGACTCTAGGACGTTTGCTTTGTCAATGCCTTGGAAGGAGAAGCAAGCATATCGGTGCCATCAGTCACTTTGAGAATGAACACAGGGCTCAGCCTTGTCTCTTTTCCCAGGCGTCTTTTCTACCACGTATCATGTCATGAGGCCAAAATATCCAAAATAAGAATTATTCTCTCAGCATGGGTCTCAACATGAAGAGAACAGAAGCTGAGACTTTGCTGACCCACAATAGGATTCACATTGGTAAAAAACAATATTCACTGTTGTAAGTAACTGAGACTTTGGAGTTGTTACAGGAAGGAAGGAAGGAAGGAAGGAAGGAAGGAAGGAAGGAAGGAAGGAAGGAAGGAAGGAAGGAAGGAAGGAAGGAAGGAAGGGAGAAAGAAAACATTTTAGTTGAAGCTGACTGGTATGGTCATTAAAACAAGAGAAAAACAAAACTTAAAATATGTGGCGTTGGTTTCAGTATCAGAAGTAGCGGAGTAGAGAATATACATCAGATGCTGCTCTAATAGAAATTCATTTTATGGGGTGGTGAAACATTTGGCATATTAGTTTCCAGTAATACCTCAGAAGGCAGAGCATATAGAGAATGAGTTTGTGGTTTTTGGGTTAAAAATGTGAACTAATATTTCTTGTTTGCAATTGATACATTTGACAAATGTATGAAAGATGAACTCAGAAATAAATTGTTGAGTTTTCTAAGAGGTACATAAAGTAATATATAAATTTAAGTGACTTCTAGGGTTGTGAGACACATGATTCTCATTACCAAGTGGCAAAATATAAAACTGAGGATGCCTTTGAGCAACATCAATTAATGCTGTGGCAAGAAATAGTGTTTCCACCAACCTCGTTATTAAAGTTCTGAATCTATTAAGATGGTTCCCTATAAGTTCTTTAAGAAAAATTGGTGTAGTGAGAAGAGACTTGGATTGTGCCTCTACCAGAACATCTCATAATTAAAGGTAAAAATAGCTCAAAGACAGAGAATTTTTCTAAAAGGATTGCAGATGTGAATATTAATCTGTGGAATTTACTGTAAACAAATTTTTAAAAAGACTGCTAAGTTTTTAATAAAAGTCATACTGGCAAATGTACTCTAGTGTAGACTAAAAGAGACTAATTTCTCAAAATTTAAAATAATATTTGTTCTATTACTTCCATGAGAATGAAGCTGGCTGAACATGCTAGCAATGCTCTTGGAAAGAATACTCTCTACTGGCGTACTCAGAAATAACCATGGTACATAATTATTAAGAAAAAGAAGAACCTCGTAGAGAGCAGAGCTAAGGACCATAGAAACAACTCTTTAGAAAACTATTGTCAAGGCGCAGAACCCAGGCTAACTGCAGGAACACATCCCGTGGGCAATATAGGTACCCCTCGCAATATCTGCCATGATCAATTTCATACATGTTTTCTATTCTCCCCTTCTATATGGAAATATTTATAGAAATGTACTTGTCCTAATTTTGCTGTAGCATATTTGGCAAGGGTGTGAGTGCCAGGTAGAGGGTGGTGCAAATTACTAAATTAGTACATAGATCCCTGGAGCAAAAAACAAATATTGAGATCTGATGTAGACATGATCATGTGTTCTTGAACTCTGAGACCAATGCTATTGTCCTTGAACTGTTGGTTGAGTAATTTTCTTTGAGCAGGTCATGAAAACTTTCAGAAAAAGGGAAAAAATAGTGTATGACTAAGAAAGTGGTCTATGTTATATTGTACGTGAATGAATGTGTATATCTCTTTCTCTGTGTTAATATCTGCTGTCTTTGCTGTGGAAAAAATATGGTTTTCAAACATGGATGGCAGATATGGTCCTGTGACTTGTTTGTCAAAAAGAATAGTGCTACTTTCCAACAGAATCTAAAGAACCATAGTTCCATATAGAGAAGCATTTGAGTATATTTCATATTTAAAGCTTAAAAATAGATGCATTGAAATATACAAGTATATTCAACCAAAAAAAGTATTTCAATCTCCTGTATCTGTAAGCCAATTAATTGATCACCAGAGAGAAATGACTCAAAGCACGATTAGCTCATATGGGTTTTGTAATCTAGATTATTTGATTGCAGTAGTCACATTGTCAGTTTTTCTCTGATTAAAGGTCATCACTATTTTGGGTGGCTAGAAACAATAATAGTCATCACAAAACATGATTTTTCTTTAAATCACTATCAACATTTCTATGATTTGATTTCTCATTGAAAAGCAAAGAAAATTATGTCAGTTTTATTACTGAGTTTTTCAATTTTATAGTAGCAAATTATTCAAATTTCAATTAGTGTTTAATTGGAACTGTCAAATACAAAGATTTCAGCTCCCACAAGCAAACAGATTTTAAATAAATGAAAATGAGATGACTAATCCTCTGTATTATAGAGAAATAGAATGTTGTAACCCATAAGAGAAAAATCTAGGGTCTGATTAAAGCAATGAACAAACAAAAAAATTCATTCTGGAGGTGAGTTTTTTTATCTTAAGCTAGTTTATAAACAACATTTAATTATATTTATGTCACAAGGTAAACATTCATTTCTCATTGCTAAAGTTTTTGTGAATATGTATCCCATTATATAATGACAAAATTTAATTGACACTATATTACAATACTGCAGGATCATTTATGTATCAATGTTAAAAATCGAAAAAACTGACCACTTTAATTAACATAGTGCAAAAACCAGTCTAATAAAAAGTATCATAATGCAATAGCAATATTGTTAGAGGAAGGAACATGTAAGCTGAGCTCACAAGGTTATGTCTCTAGTATCCAGGAAGCAAGGAATATAATATAATAATATAATGTAAGCAATTACAATGACACATAGGTACATTACGCTTTAGAACTAGTGTCAGAAAGCCTAAAGGACAGAATGAAATAAGGTTTGCCAAAGAATATTTTAAATTTTGTAATGCCATGTCACATCACACAAATAAGGAAAAAATAAAGGGGAAAAGTCAAGTTCACTATCATCATACCACTGTAACATATTACTTAGTGTTTGGACTTTAAATGCTAATGCAATTATGTACATAAATGTAGTCATCGTTGTGAATAATATTATACTTTTTTTCTCAGTTACAGTAGCCAGTTTTTATTTTACCTTGTAATATTCATAACTGGTATTTATTTCAAGAAAATAATATTTATTTTCATAGATATAAATTTAGTTAATCAACCCATCTTCCTTTATTGAAGACCATTTGACTTTTTCTCCAGTATAACTCTACCACGACTCATTTTATGTACATACTATTTTCTTTCCATTGGAACAAAGAACATTGTTTAAGTGGAATAACTTAGTTAAAGGATATGAATAAATGTACTCTTAAAATATAAGTACAGTATTATCAATCTTCTTTGTCAGTAACAAGTCAAATTGTGGAAATATTTACTGCTATCTAATGCCAAATATTGTCTGCATCTTAACTAAGGGAAAGTAAGATAAACCTCAAAAGATATTTTTAAAATTAAAAAGGGTTCAATCACTCAATTTGTTTTAATGTTAATTAGATTTACTTTTAATTCCAGTTTCTTTCTTTTATTTAATTCTTTAAATGTTTTAACTTTTATTTTAATTACTTTAAACTT